AGCTGTTGATAAGTGACTCTGCAACTACACATCAACTAGCGGTCATTAGAGTATTAGTATGTGCTACTGTAAATATTTGCTAACACTTTATTTTGATGCTCAACCAACAGATAAACTGACTATAAGTGTCTTTGCAAGTACGTCAACTTATTCTACCATACTATATTCTACCATTCTTGAGCATACTAATACTCTAATGAGAGTTAGTTGCAAAGTTGCTTATAGTCGATTGATTAAGGGGACCATCAAAATAAAATGTAACCATATAAAACATTGCATTTTTTTCAGTTGGAGTATTAAGCTCACATCAATTAATTAACATTAGCGCCACAGGAAACACTCAAATAACACTCAACATCTAACACTCACAAGCTGTAGTAAGATACTGTGCAGATCTTAAATAAACAATGTCAAGATATGATACAGTCCATTATTCTGTAAATGAAGTAGATTTAATATGGTGTTCATTGTGTGTTATAAATAATCATACTCTTAAACTTATAACCACAAATACGTAAGTATTATGATGTATTATAACTGTTGTTATGATTATTCATGAGTATTCATGATATTATAAGTTTTTTTATAATGCATTATGCATTCATTATAATGCCTTAAGAATACCCTTATAATGTATTCTAAATACAGGCTTCATAGAAAGTGTTACCAGAATATCTCTTTGGATTTGAGACTTTAGTCTTTGCAAATTTACAGATCTTCTTGTCTTGATCAGCACCAAGAGCTTGTAACACTCCAAAGAGAAAGGAAAAATTGAAATCGCATCATATGACCCCTTTAACTTATTGATGGGCATTATTATTTTATCCAAAGGAAGATGATGATGGAGTAGATCAGCACTCTTACTTGGAAATATTTCTTAAGTATTGAAACAGCTTCACCCCTTCTCCCAGCATTCCCTCTAGTTTAAGTGTTTTTTTTATCCCTTCATAACCTCGTTTCATAATTTGCATCCCAACCCATTTTGCTTTGTTTACCCATAACCATGTGAACTCTGTGGCGTCCACACTGTAGAGGGAGAAGGGGAAGGAAGCAGAGCCGCAGGCCGCAAATGCTTCCTCTAATGGGGACGCTGTTCACTCTAATGATGTGGACATGACCTTTGACCTTCCCTCCTCTGAAGGGAACAGGCTGGTTAAGTCAGAGGGCCTCAGTAAGTATATCACTGGAATTATCAAGTGTCAATTTAACTGACTTGTCATCATTACATGGTTTTTTATGTCCTTCTGTGCTAGGAATAATTTTGTCAGCACTGTAATAAGTCTTATTTCAATTCAATAGTGCATTATATTTATAAGAAATATTTTAGTACATTTCTGATCCCACTTATGTGAGCAAATATAACTATTCTTATTAAAATGAATGGGATGGATGCAAAAAGTATAAGCAAGAAGACTAGTACTGAAGGTTTATTATATATATATATATATATATATTTATAAAACCCACCTTACCATATTGCATCTAGTTGTCCATGTAAGTCCACTAGAGCGTAGCCTTACTGCATGACTTTCAGCTGTCTCTGCAAATGAAGCTGGGACAGATATGCAGATTATTATAACAAATACACACTACCATTCAAAACCACTTTAAGCAAGGACACATTAAATTGATCACAAGTAATTGTAAAACTATTTCAAATAAATGCTTTTTATTTTTTTGATTTTCTATTAAGAAATCCAAAAAAAAAAAAAAAGATCACGGTTTCCACAAAAACATTGCAACAAGCACACTTGTTTTCCACACTGATAATAATCAGTAAATCAGCGTATTATGCTGCATTCCCGCCATATCGTAATTACTGTAATTTCGAAATGACAACATGTGGCATTGTACTTGGAGCTGTTCGCATCCTTGGACTCAGACACAGAACTATCGCACTATCAATGACTAAACATAGCGCCTAATGAATCTGAGGTGGTCAGGTGGTACAAGTCGTAGCTTTCAGAAAACTCCCAGTTCACAAGTTGCAATTACGAGTTATACGAGGAAGTGAATGCTTTTTACAAGTTGGTTTATCGTAATTGTGGTAATTATGACATGGCGTGAACACACCTATAGAAAGATTTCTGAAGGATTATGTGACACTGAAGACTGGAGTAATGATGCTGACAATTCAGATTTGCATCAGGAATAAATTACATTTCAAAATATATTAAAATAAAAAATGTGACCCTGGACCACAAAACCAGTCATAAGGGTCAATTTATCGAAACTGAGATGTATACATCATCTGAAAGCTGAATAAATAAGCTTTTCATTGATGTATGGTTTGTTATGATAGGACAATATTTGGCCGAGATGCAACTATCTGAAAATCTGGAATCTGAGGGTGCAAAAAAAAATCAAAATATTGAGAAAATCGCCTTTAAAGTTGTCCAAATTAAGTTCTTAGCAATGCATATTACTAATAAAAAATTAAGTTTTCATATATTTACAGTAGGAAATTTACTAAATATCTTCATGGAACATGATCTTTACTTAATATCCTAATGATTTTTGGCATAAAAGAAAAATCTATAATTTTGACCCATGCAATGTTCACAAATGTCATTTTCCAATAATACTGTTTTAGTTTGCATTTGATCAAATAATTGCAGCCTTTGTAATAAACTCAGTGATATAAATAATAAATAAATACATCTTAGTGACCCCAAACAATACATACAACCTTTCATTTTATTTTATGCACATATTATCTTACAAAACCTGACAATTGTTCATGTCCATCCAATTTAATCCAAATTCCTCCTTTCCTCCCATCAGATTGAGAGCCACAAGCTAAATTTCCGAGAGCAAGCCAAAGCGCGCACCGACCACGGTGCTGAGATCGTGTGCCGGTCCCCCGACATTTCCACGGATGGATCGCCCCGCCGCCTCAGCAACGTGTCTTCCTCCGGCAGCATCAACATGACCGACTCCCCGCAACTGTCCACGCTAGCTGATCAGGTGTCAGCCTCCCTCGTTAAACTAGGCCTGTGAGCTGCCGGCCCAAACGTGTTGGCAATTGACAAATTGAAAAAAAAAAGTAAAAAATGTATCTCCTTCAGTCCTTTCAAAAGAGGTGCTTGTCGGATTTTTCCTAACTAAAGATTGTCCCAGCGGCTTGTCTGCTTGTGAAATAATTTTTGCCTCCTGGCATGGAAAGACAGGTATTGATGTTATTGGCTTAGTATCCAAAAAAAAAAAAAAAACCGCTACAATTTAAAAGGAGCTGGTGGTGTATTGATCCAAATGGTCATTTACAGCACTGAGTAGCCTGATTTAGTTCGTTTAATACCCCGATTTTTAAAAGAAACAACTGACATTTGCTTTCAAAGCTGTATTTGCTTCGTTGCCTTATTGTGAATGTTTTTATTTACCATAACTTATGCACTCCTGTTTTGACATGCAGCAGTAGGGAAGGCAGACATGCTACTTGGTTTGGAAGGGTGCAATTAATGATACTGGCTATGAATTTAATAGGACAGAAACATTTCAAACGCTCCTAGGTAAAACTTGAGGCAATCAGGCTGTAACGGACACATATTTAACAACAATAGAGGCCTGCTATATAATTATTTCAATCAAATGCGTCAGCGAGCACTATAGTGCATGCTTTGGTGTTTAATAAAAGCTTTTACATTCACAAAACACCTCAATTGTGTGTTCAATCCAAATTAAAACAGTAAAGCTCATTATTCAGATGAGTCTAGGATGCTGTAATTCTAATATCATAGTTTGGAAATTTCGGTACCAGACTTTACCTGTGAATTTTATTAAACTGCACATCCTCATTCATCACCACAGCAAATTCCCAAGGCTTATCTGTCCTCATAAATGCACAGGAAGTTGCATCGTTGAATGAAATCTTGCTTGCTGCCTCTTGATAGAGAAGAAAGCAAATGTCAATATATAAAAATTGAAACAAACTCTTGTACAGGGCTCAACAATAAGGATTTTTGGCTATCTGGACAGTTCAATTTCAACATATTTTGTCTCTAAAAAGAAAAAAAAAAGTTAAAAATGTATCTCCTTCAGTCCTTTCAAAAGAGGGGCTTGTCGGATTTTTCCTAACTAAAGATTGTCCCAGCGGCTTGTCTGCTTGTGAAATAATTTTTGCCTCCTGGCATGGAAAGACAGGTATTGATGTTATTGGTTTAGTATCCAAAAAAAAAAAAAAAACTCTACAATTTAAAAGGAGCTGGTGGTGTATTGATCCAAATGGTCATTTACAGCACTGAGTAGCCTGATTTAGTTCGCTTAATACCCCAATTTTTAAAAGAAACAACTGACATTTGCTTTCAAAGCTGTATTTGCTTCGTTGCCTTATTGTGAATGTTTTTATTTACCATAACTTATGCACTCCTGTTTTGACATGCAGCAGTAGGGAAGGCAGACATGCTACATGGTTTGGAAGGGTGCAATTAATGATACTGGCTATGAATTTAATAGGACAGAAACATTTCAAACGCTCCTAGGTAAAACTTGAGGCAATCAGGCTGTAACGGACACATATTTAACAACAATAGAGGCCTGCTATATAATTATTTCAATCAAATGCGTCAGCGAGCACTATAGTGCATGCTTTGGTGTTTAATAAAAGCTTTTACATTCACAAAACACCTCAATTGTGTGTTCAATCCAAATTAAAACAGTAAAGCTCATTATTCAGATGAGTCTAGGATGCTGTAATTCTAATATCATAGTTTGGAAATTTCGGTACCAGACTTTACCTGTGAATTTTATTAAACTGCACATCCTCATTCATCACCACAGCAAATTCCCAAGGCTTATCTGTCCTCATAAATGCACAGGAAGTTGCATCGTTGAATGAAATCTTGCTTGCTGCCTCTTGATAGAGAAGAAAGCAAATGTCAATATATAAAAATTGAAACAAACTCTTGTACAGGGCTCAACAATAAGGATTTTTGGCTATCTGGACAGTTCAATTTCAACATATTTTGTCTCTAAAAAATACATTTTAATTCTAGATTTTTATTAATGCAAATGATTAGAAATGTAACTCCATGAAAGCTATGAAATTTTACATATAGCTTTTGTTATTGAAAAAAAATGTTTTAGCAACATTTTGTTTCAAATGATCTTTTTACAACTATTTGATGCAAATTATTAAAAATGAAACTGCATGAAAGATTTTTTTTTTTTTTACACAGCTAAATGACATATAATGCAAAACCTTACTGATAATAAATGACAACAATTGCATCATTCTTACGGCGTCTGATACATCGCTTGAAGTTTCCGTTTTCAAAACAAACTGTGTTTTAAAAGGTTTATGAGACCAAATATAAGATGCAGTGACTGCCTTACACAGGCCCCAGATCACATTGTCATCCTTATTGTTGAGCTCTGAAGTAGTTTGCCCTGCACAAGCACCATCCAATTCGAGATATCACTCGGTACATCCTCTCATTGTTTCCTTCAACTTATATCTGTATGGTAATGATGCTTCTGTATTGATGGATTTCAGCTTCTGTGTCTAAAATGCTGTTCCAAAGTATGTGTGTATGGACCAATGCAAAAGACATGAGGGGATTTCAATTCAAAGCACTCAATAAAATAACTAACATCACATCAGGAAATCTCATATTGAGAACAGACAATAGAAAAGTGCCTCCCGGTGTCCATCAGCTACATTCGAGAAGACTGTCTATGTTTTAAAGATTCTCTTTGGTCCAAGATGGATTGAGTCATGTACAGCAGCACAGAGCAGGACATTTCACACACAGCCAAGCTCCCCTCAATACTAAAGCCTGCAATATAGTCATCAAACCAAACCACAACGCTCACACGCTGCACATTCCCAGCATGCAATGGACTTCACCCATGGTCTTGAATATAGTAACCAGTCACCACACCCCTGTCCAACTGTTTAGAAAACGACCTTTACTAGAGCATTGAACTCATCTTAAAACATGAAAAGAAGAAAAAAAAAAAAAGTGGAGGATGATAGAGAAGAAAGCAAATGTCAATATATAAAAATTGAAACAAACTCTTGTACAGGGCTCAACAATAAGGATTTTTGGCTATCTGGACAGTTCAATTTCAACATATTTTGTCTCTAAAAATATACATTTTAATTCTAGATTTTTATTATTTAATGCAAATGATTAGAAATGTAACTCCATGAAAGCTATGAAATTTTACATATAGCTTTTGTTATTGAAAAAAAATGTTTTAGCAACATTTTGTTTCAAATGATCTTTTTACAACTATTTGATGCAAATTATTAAAAATGAAACTGCATGAAAGATTTTTTTTTTTTTTACACAGCTAAATGACATATAATGCAAAACCTTACTGATAATAAATGACAACAATTGCATCATTCTTACGGCGTCTGATACATCGCTTGAAGTTTCCGTTTTCAAAACAAACTGTGTTTTAAAAGGTTTATGAGACCAAATATAAGATGCAGTGACTGCCTTACACAGGCCCCAGATCACATTGTCATCCTTATTGTTGAGCTCTGAAGTAGTTTGCCCTGCACAAGCACCATCCAATTCGAGATATCACTCGGTACATCCTCTCATTGTTTCCTTCAACTTATATCTGTATGGTAATGATGCTTCTGTATTGATGGATTTCAGCTTCTGTGTCTAAAATGCTGTTCCAAAGTATGTGTGTATGGACCAATGCAAAAGACATGAGGGGATTTCAATTCAAAGCACTCAATAAAATAACTAACATCACATCAGGAAATCTCATATTGAGAACAGACAATAGAAAAGTGCCTCCCGGTGTCCATCAGCTACATTCGAGAAGACTGTCTATGTTTTAAAGATTCTCTTTGGTCCAAGATGGATTGAGTCATGTACAGCAGCACAGAGCAGGACATTTCACACACAGCCAAGCTCCCCTCAATACTAAAGCCTGCAATATAGTCATCAAACCAAACCACAACGCTCACACGCTGCACATTCCCAGCATGCAATGGACTTCACCCATGGTCTTGAATATAGTAACCAGTCACCACACCCCTGTCCAACTGTTTAGAAAACGACCTTTACTAGAGCATTGAACTCATCTTAAAACATGAAAAGAAGAAAAAAAAAAAAAGTGGAGGAAGATTGAAGGAACAAAGCTACCTGCTAAAATCTTTTTTTCTAATAGTATTGTGTGGAAGATGTAAAAGATGTACGAATGTGTTCAGAAGATCTTTGCAGCTTTACGCTCATTTGAAAGTGAATGCACTGATTTGACAGAAGAGCTGCCTCTACACAAACTGCATTACTCATTTAGATGTATATCTTGCATTTAGAAATGGGAAAAAATATAATAATAGGTAAAACAGAGGGATAATTTGCATCCAGAATCCACAATATCAGTAAAGGACTTAACTAGTGCCACATGTATCTCTCTCACATGACCCTGAGAAGCTTTAGAGGATTGCTGGAAACCCAACACTGTGGCCGTCCTTTGTACAGCATGCTGCTAACATAAACCTGAGCATTTAGACGCGTGGGGTTAAGCTGAAGAACAGACTTATCAGATCAAATGTTTCAAAATGGCACTGGATAAGGCCTTTTAAGTAATTCTACCCTTTAGCTGTGTTTCAACCGGTTCCGAGGTCTCTCTATCTCTCTCCTCCGTTTCATTACCCGCCTCTGCTCTTCACTTCGCGGTTCTTCTTTCTAGCTTGACAGTTGTGTCGTCTTTATCGTAATGTGTTTTATTAATTGGTTTACACTGATACTCCTTGCTGTAAACGTGAATTTGGAAATAAAGTCCGTATTAAACTGCTTCCTGTGTCCTTTGAGCTTGCTCTTTTGGTTTCCTTTTCCCTTCAGAAGTTCAGAGTATTTACTCAGTGGACGCATCTTATACAGTCATGGTTATAAACACTAGATATACTTAAAGGTACAGTGTCATTTTTTACGCTTGTAAATTTCACATGTGAAAAACCAGTCCAAGACTGTGGAAAAATCGGTTTAAAATCACGAATACTGACATGAGACGAAAAGGTAAGCAGGAGACTAACGAAAGCAGTTTTTAAATGTATATGTAGCGGGTCGCCTCATGTTCAGATCACGTGACAAGACGACGGAACCGAGTAAATCACTAACGGAGATAAGAACTTTTTTTTTATTAAGCTGGTAACAAAGTATATGAATGTGAATGTGCGAAATGCAGCATCATCGCCGCTAGATGGCAGTACAAAGACTAAATAGCTGTCTTTCCAACTGAGTACCTTTCAAAGCATCCTGGTAAGGTCAATAGGAAGCTGTTTCCAGAATGCAAATTTGAAACCGCTATCATCCAAATATTGCTGCTTTAGTTTCAATTATGGTAGATTAAATGCAGTTTTCCCCTCTTCTTTCCAGGCTGCTTCAGCTAAAGTGAACAAAAGTTTTGCAGTTAAAAAAATACAATTATATATATGCAGCCTGGAAAAAAAGAAGGGGAAAAAAAAGTGTTTTTAAGCTTCCTTTTACTGTTTTTGTGATAATTTTACATTTTACCACGTTAATTTTATCCAGATAATTAGTAACCACAACCTTTCTCTGCTGACCTTGAACATTAGTGTGAACAACTGTAATATGTTTGTAAGGGTTTAACATTAAATATGTCAAATGTACAGTGGGTACGGAAAGTATTCAGACCCCCTTAAATTTTTCACTCTTTGCTCCAGTGAGATAAAAGGAATATATTAAGGATTTCTGGTTTACATGACATCCCTTTAACAAGAACAAATGGCTACAATAGCTAGAAACATGTGACGACAGATACAGAGAAGCTACTTATAAAAATCTTAAGTAACTGGTGTCCGCTATTAGACTTGTACATTCGTATTAGTTAAAATAACAGGAAGGCGTTGCAAGCAGTGACTCACTGACTGGGGAACTAACAGAAATCGTTCCTCATCGTTACACAATGGAAAAACGGGGCTGTGACCGCCAGCAACTGAGGAGCCAACGAATGAAAATTTGCCATGTCCTTTCCTATCAAGCACTTCAGCAAACATTATTACTCGAACATCAAGTTACGGGATTCGATGATGGGTGTAGGTACTGCAGATTGTTTTATTAAACCGAGTGTAGACCTGACCAATCAATGGAAGGGCTCTTTTATATAGGGTTAGAACGAAATCGAAGAAAAGCCGAGTCAAGTGGCAGCAAATTTCAGTTTATATTGGAGTGACTGCACGGTTTCTGGACTAACCTGATCATGCACAGCGACGTCAAGTGCTTTAAAATTCACACTAATGCAAGCCCACATGAGAAAGAGCCATCTTGTCTCAAATGTTAGCACATCCTGCACATTCAGGTGCTGATTTTAAGTTCACTGGCAATCGTGTCATGCAAGAGACCAATTAAGTGCTCTAATCAAACGGTGGCGTTTAAAAGGCGCATGAGAGCGACACGGCAGTTTCGTTTTCTGGCACCTGCTCTCTCCGTCACTTTGACAGAAGTGGGGCACAGACAAACCACGGTTTTAACGAGAACATGGGACTGAAATGAAACCAGAAAGTGGAATTTATGAAATTCTCGGGCAAGTTTGTCTGTTTAAAATAATAGGCAGGGAATGTGTAGAGAAAAAGAATTTGAAGTGCTTTCACACAGAAAGAACAAAGACAGGCTTCTGCGCCTTCGTGCAAGTCTCTTGCAATCATTATCATTGGCTTTGTTTTTGCGTTTTATCACTCCAGTATAAACTGCAAACCTGAATGAGTAATTTTAGGTGGGATATTGGAAATATCGAGCCGAGCCCCTCAGTACGACAGCATGTTAAGGGGAAGTGCTCTTCTGCGATATACGATACGTTTCAGAGCTTCTTATTTTGGTTTAGCTCTCAAGCTTCTTTCTTCCTTTTTATTTTTGAAACATATTTTTTCTCCAGTGACCCAAAAGCGAGACTGAATTAAAACTGGTCTTCATATATATCTCCATACAATTCACTAAAAACCGTGAAAGAATTTACTGATGTTTGAATATCAAACAACAGGGACTTTCATTCGTTTTGTTGTTGTTGTTGTTTTTTCCCATCAATGATGCTGCTGTGTCAGGAGTTTGTGAAAGCTGGTGGGCGGGGGGTTCGGTGGGTGGGCAGAGTCTAGGCTTCATCGGTGAGTAGGTTTGGGTGGATTGGTTTGTTTTTGTTTGGCGCCGTCATCGCCGAGAGGTGATGAAGGCCCAGCGTCAGACTCCGATTTGGACGACCTGCTCCCAGACACCCGTCGAATGTTCCTACAGGACCTCTCGCCATCTGGACTGTGTAGGATTTCGCTCTCCTGCTGTGGATCCACATCCAGGGGAAAGGTCCGGCGTTCCCATGGCTGTACCGGCTGGGGAGCCCGTAGGGACAAACAGAGACACACCAAGTAAATATCTGAACACAGAATAACCAAAAGGTTGTCTGTTTCCTCATTCCTCTGAGGAAACAGATTATAGTGACCAAAATTATCACGGTTATCAGTATTATCATGGTATTGTTAAAATGTGCTGGAGATGTTCAAAAAATACAGACACATAAATCACTTCCAAGTTTTATATTTAAAAATCAGCACACAACAAATAAAATGACTTTTTGCATAATCACTAAAAGGATAACATTACCAATGATGTTCGGATTTTAAATGACAACTTGACTGACTGACTTTAATAGCATGTTGAAATATCTAATGTAAATGTTCAAATAAAGCTTTGAAAAAGTTTCATAAAAAAGGTAAACCTCACATTTCAGCCTTTAAACAAAGAAAAGAGTGAAGTCAAAATGAAAATTGATTAATAAATGATTATATGTATTTTATCTGCTCCATAAATAATTCTAGATAACTTATCTGAATTGTTTAAATGTGTAGAATCCACATAAGCTTGTTTTTCATCAAGGGCATGCAAATTTGGTCCGTTTTTGGCCGGACAGAAACTGCACACAGGCTGAATGTAAATATAAGTCTCTGTAAATCCACTCTCTGACAGCAGGTGGCGCTTATGGAAAAGCTGAATTAGAGCTGTTTCCAGTAACCTCCGTGGACAAAGCAGTATTGCGATTAAGAACACTTTGTTTAGGTATTACATGGAGCGAAGATGAAAACAAAATGCCATCAAATCGTTTCTGAAGACAGTCAGAACCTTCAAAGGTACAATCATATAATTAATAAATTCATATATTCATTTGTATAATTCCCTTAGCACTCATTTAAAACCTCCCAGCTTTTACGCCCTGCTTTCACTCAAAACGAAACTACTCTGCCGCTGTGCGCACGTGAGACTGTTACTTAAAACTGTGCTTTATGCTGGACAGTATTTATTTATCGGGAGTTGTTCAAATCGCGGTAATCTAATATGGTTTTAATGATAATTAAAATATGAAACCGTAATACTAACCGTGGGGAATTTTTATCATGATTTATCGTCAAACTGGTAATCGTTACATCCCTAAAATGTACTGCAGTACAACTGAACACATGTGAATTTGAATGTACAATAAAGCCTCTAGCTTTATCTGAAACACTAGTCAACATAAATTCTAGGAAATGTACCCATGCTTCTTCTATATCAGGAGCCTACCATTTCCTCATAGGTATCTGGGGTGGAGCAGCGCGTGTCCTCATTGGACAGCAGTCGTTGGGAGTCTCTGTAGCCGGGCGTGTGGAGGCCGGACAGCATCAGCATCTCTGGACTGACAGGGCTGGATGGAGATGCCACCGAGTTGTAATCATGCAGCATGTGGAAATGTGCCGTGTCTGGAGACGAGGGCTGTGGTGTGGAGGGGTTTGTGCCACACAGCAAGGGGGTTGTCCGTCCGTCCACAGACTTGTATGACCTGTGGAGACAAAGATTAGCGCTGGTCATCATGTGTGTTCAGACTTGGCAGGTTTGATTTGATTAAAACAAACTCTAGTGCGATTGCTCCATTAGTGCGGTGAATAAATGTAAACGCTGCCATCCAAACCTTGGTGCACACCAAACAAGAAAAGATGTGGTTTGACAGAAATATGAATGCAACACAGACCAACGACATCTAAACTAACCAAAACCTATTACAGATTTGGAACTGCCATGTCCTTGAAGCAGATCTTTCTTTGTGGGTGGAACAGAGGATTTCCTGGCACCGTTTTGACTTCTTTACACATTTTATAAATTCTTGGGTGTGTTCTCAGCTTGTAAAAATTCCACCATGTGTACACACATACAACGAGTGTTTAGCCCTGCACACAGCATTATTTTGGATGTTTGGTAAGATCTGTTGCAAAATATACATCATAAACGTTGCCCAATCGGGTTATGACCATATGTAACCCTGTCTGTGAAAACCCAGCTAAAGTCCTTTTTTTGGCAATTTACTATTTTCTATATAAAATCATCCTTCATAAGGTAAAGAACATTCTGTGAAAATGTAACACTGATATCATTATTACTGACTAAGACCATGTCAAAGATTGAAATCATAGTGAAATCAATGGTTGAAATCAAACTTTGATGCTTGTTATCTCATAATTAGATTTTGAGACTTTAGCCTGGATTTCACAGAGAGGGTCACAAATCTTCATGCCTTTGGTTTTGTATCTTTAGGTTTGGTGTTAGAAATGACAGTGTGAACCAGGACTAAATGTACGTAACACCCCATCAGTGGAACCCGAGGTGACATCGATGTAATGCTTATTGCTTCAATAAGCTCTCAATATACTGTTGAGGTAAGCGAACTGCCTGTAGTCTTTTTTCATAGCAATTCTTCTCTCATGTTTAAAACTGGCAGGCTACTCATTTGGCATCATGAAGTACAAAATGGACAGCCGCAGACAGTTACAAAGTTGTTAATCAGGAGAAATTGCACTTGATCCTAAAAAGGGCAGAGAAAAGCATTTCGAGTTGTGTTGCCCCACCTGCTGCCCCTTCTCTTTGCGATGTTGCTGGCAGTCCAACTCCAGCGAGAGCGCTCCTGCTCCTCACACGGAAGGTGAAGCTGAGAGAACGTGACGTCAGAGAGATCCTCAATCTGAGACAATGAGAGAAGGTCATTAAAAACGTACACCGGGCAGTATTCAGGGCTACAGGCTATAAAAAAATTAAACATTAACAAGCCAAATCACAAACTACAGAATCACTTGATAAAGATGTTTGTTAAGAAGCACTTCACAGGGATTAAAGTTCCGTCGCTACGACGGATTTCCGTCAGTTCATAAAGAGAGTCACTTGCTTCATTCCTGAATGATTCAGCTGTTCGAACAAATCAATTGAATGAATGATTCAGTGATAAAATCAGTGACTTGCCGCCACCTGCTGGTGGATTTAGTTGAATTTTTTGCATATAATTTCAGTTATTTAAATCATATTTCTGTATTCAAAATGTTATTTAAAACAATCTCCACATGAATTTATAATTGCTCTCATGCTACCTCTGAGCCTCATTAAACGTCTGAAAATGTACCAAAAAAAGCCACTTTTTTGTTCTTCTGTGCCACCTCTGTAGTACAAATTAAATTATTAATACTAATTTCATATGATTGGTAAATTATTTGTCTTATTCTACATATTGTTTTAAATAGACATTTTAAAAAGTTTATAAACGTAAATTTTTGAATTTGACAGATGAAAATGACGCCATTACAAAGGTAAAGAGAAAATACTCCTGTAAGTCACTTTAAGGAGTCAAATGTCAGCTTGTATTAGGAAGGCTAATTTTTTTATCAGAATGTTTGATTATTGATCAGAAGGTGCTCCTAAATATTTAAATTACGAGGACAAGCGCTCCTAATTACAAGAAGAAAAAACGGCTCAAACTGGGTGTTTGGTCTAAGAAAAATTTTCAGTCAAAAGATTTTTTTTTGTTGTTGCTTTAACCCCTGCAATATAATAAGTAGAAGACAAATACCAATCATATAAAATTATTATAAATAAATTTATTTTTTACTACAGAGGTGGCACAGAAGAACACAAAAGCGGCTTGTAGGTACATTTTCAGACGTTTAATGAGGCTCAGAGGTAGCATGAGTGCAATTAAATTAATAAATTCATGTGGAGATTAATGTTTTAAATATAAAATTTTGAATACAGAAATATGATTTAAATAACTGAAATTATAGGCTAAAATGAAACAATCTGCCAGCAGGTGGCGGCAAGTCACTGATTTTATCACTGAATCATTCATTCAATTGATTCATTCAAACGGCTGAATCATTCAGGAATGAAGCAAGTGACTCTCTTTATGAACTGACAGAAATCCGTCGTAGCGACAGAACTTTAATCCCTGACTTCAGTACGTATTTTAATATTTTAACAATATTTTTTTAATCTACCAACAGTCTGCCAACAGTTTGATTCAAAACGCTAACGTCACAAAAGGTTTGAGGCTGTTTTGTGAATCTTTTTGACTCATTAAAAAGAATCAGCTCATAAGAGTCATTTTTCAGGAATCAGACATTATGTGTTGACACTAGTTAATCATATTTGACAAAACTGCTTTCCAGACTGTCTAGATTTGTATTACATTGTCAGCCAATTTAGATCTTAAAACCTAATGAGCTGCCTACCAAGAAAGCATTTTGGGGCATCATCATCCTGCTTAATGTAACAAACCGTTAACACCCTAAATGTCTAGGTATGCAGCTTACGGGCTTGAAACACAGCCTAAAATAACTGTTGGGTGACCAATTGCAAGGCCGTACCTCCACAGCATCATCCTCTTCAGATATTGGTTTTGCAAAAGTGTCCACTTCTCGCCAACTGCGATTAAAAAGCAAAGGGCAGCATATTTAGTAGTTAAAGAACAATTCTTTGAATATATGAGGCAGGTATGGATAGACAGCTTGTGTCTCTGACCTTGGGGTAAGGATCTCTTTGTACTGTAGTTTCTCCACTCGGGTGGTGGCGGCCACAGACATGGGGATGACGATGTTATTGATGTCAAATGGGCTCTCTCCTCTCCGTCGGCGAATAGTCTGAAAGAATCACATACAGGCCTAAGCAACTTGATCTCAAGAGTTTACACAAACAGATGCTTTGAAGAGCATCTTACGGCAGTGCTGCTGTTGAGGTGGAGAGGTGTGGAGGTCTCGGAGATTGACGGCTGTCTCATCAGAGGACTGTGGGTGGGTGTGTTGAGAGCAGACAGAGATGGGCATGGACTCCCCACGTCCATATTCAACTTTGGAGCATCTATAGACAAACCAAAGACAGTGCTGAGTCACAGGACTTAACTCGATGAGTTAGAGGGAGATGGAAGTAAACGTGACTGAAGCGATTAAAAGAATGAATGAGGAGGGGAAAAAAAATGAATGAATGAATGAACAACATACTCTCAGTACGGTCCAGCGAGGGTTCACGAGGTCTCTTTTGGCCGTGAGTCCTGTCAAAAGAACTGCTCTGGTGGAAAGGCCTGCGAGAGTCATGTTTACTGATTGGGATGTCTAACTGCTGCTGAAAGACCTTCTCTGAGCGAACCTTAGGATGCGACGAACCTGAGAGAAATGGCAAACAGGAAGATTGATGAATTGATGAAGAGGAAACAATTTTTTTTTTATCTTAATCTCTGCATATTTTGATGTTTTACAGAGTTTAGCATTTGTAGCATTTTTTACATTACATTTATTTGTAACTTCTCTTTTAATCGTTACTGTTAACCATTTTACATTTGTTTTCAGTTACTCTGCATCCGTCGTCTTTGATTATATAAATTTTGTTTGGTTTAAGCTTCTCTTTCTACCTTATTTCTAATTTATCTTTTAATCTGTATGGTTTTCCATTTAAATCTTTAGTTTTTTCATATTTGTGTTGCGTTTCACTTATTGTTTTGCCATTATATATTTTTTTTGTCTAATTCCATTTATAAAGTCAATGTTATCCTTTATCAGGTACTCTATGTATTTTCACCGTTATTCATTTTAATGTGCAATTATTTACACTCGCATTTTTTACATTACATTTATTTGTAACTTCTCTTTTAATCGTTACTGTTAACCATTTTACATTTGTTTTCAGTTACTCTGCATCCGTCGTCTTTGATTATATAAATTTTGTTTGGTTTAAGCTTCTCTTTCTACCTTATTTCTAATTTATCTTTTAATCTGTATGGTTTTCCATTTAAATCTTTAGTTTTTTCATATTTGTGTTGCGTTTCACTTATTGTTTTGCCATTATATATATTTTTTGTCTAATTCCATTTATAAAGTCAATGTTATCCTTTATCAGGTACTCTATGTATTTTCACCGTTATTCATTTTAATCTCTTAAGGATATTTTTAAGGTTATTTCATACTACTCTACTTGTTAATTTATCTTTTTTTTCTTTCTAATTTCATTTTTAATATTTAATAACATCCTTTCTTTGCCAGTATACTTTATTTTATGTAATGTACATAGTTTTGCAATATTTTTCTTGGACATCTGCTAATTGTTTTTGCAAAATGAATATGATTGTCATGCCAACATCTCTCAATAAATTGGACTAAATACACAACTACCAATAATAGTAATACATTTCTTTATATTACACATGACTCAACTCTACAATATATAGTACTACATCTGGACGTCTTTCAGAGTTCTATAATTCATACATGGAATATAAAAGAAACAAATGGAGTCAGCAACTGTGGCTGGACTTATATGATGCCAGAAATAACTGCTGAGTCACTGCGACGAGCGTCTGGCAGAGAGCACCTAATGACGGCCAGACACTCACAGGTCACTTTAACTGCCCATGAGGGCCGTCACATTTAGACCAGATTTAGATTCTCCTAAAGGTGTGAAAATTTGCCTCCATTACAGAAAAAACAGCTCCTGACATTTCAGATGCTGAGGAAGCAGGGGATTTTCACCCACAATTTTGTATACTGCCAAAGTCGTGGCCTAGATGTTAGCATGCACGATACAGTCATTCTGAGCCACAGTGCTCATGCAGGGCACCCAGGTTTGACTCTAGCTCCCTTAACTTTTCCTATTTCCTTTCCATTTTCAATTTTAATAAAAGCCCTTTAAGGCAAATAAATGAGGTGTTTTGGTGTCTCTTGTAGTTGTTTTCACACTCACGGACTGTGGAGAGGAGAGAGCTGGCGAGCTTGTGTTTGTCTTTGGATGACGGGTCTGAGATGCGGCTACCCAAACACAACTTGTGCTTGAGCGACATCTTCTTGATGGGCTTGATCTTCTCCAGAAGACGATTCTGCCAGTGTCCCTTCAGCACACGCTGCATATGTAGATTCATCATCACATCTGAGAGAGCAGACGACAGAGTTTATCATCTGAAACATGGTCTTGCATTGTCAGAAACCCAGGCTTCCAGGTAGATCATGTCATCTGTTCCTCTTCCTAATCTGTCATCAACATGTAATAACTTTCTCCACCTCCAAAAAAAACCTGGCAGACATCAAGTCTTGTAATTTGTTTCAATTCCAGATAGACAAGTCTCACATAACATATTCCTTGTTGAATATCCTGTTTCACTTTAAAAAAAACATCAGATAGTGAAAGTAAAATCGGTTCAAGCTGGCTTTAAGTCCTCTAAGTGATTTTTTATTTATTTTTTAATCCAATTTTCATTGATGGGACAGAAACAGCAAAAAGAGGTCAGGTAATTATGGGAAAAAAGGGTGAAAATACATTATATTTACGTGTAACATTTCATACACAAGTCAAAGTGTAAATTCAAAATGCTTCAAATATTGATTAAAAAAATGAATAACCATTAAGGTTACTTTTAAGGTGCTCTGTTAAAGCGCAGTTGTACATTTAAATACTGGGTGTAATATAGATTACTAACAACATGCTTATAAGGTTAGAGGTAGGATTAGGTTTGTTTTAGGGTTATTGCATGTTAATCAGCATAATTTTCTGTTCTTACTGTAGTAAGCATATGCAATGTGTAAAAATTACATTGTTAAAGTGTTACCCATATTAAAAGATTTAAATAAATAATTAATTAAAAGGAAATCAAAGGTATAAATTAAAATGTGTATGAGAGAGATAAGAGGACAATTATGTGCATTCTCTTAGAATCAAACCAAACACCATTTGACATAAATCTCATTCAAAAAGGCTTTTCATCCTTTGGCTACTGTACTAATGTGAATAGTGATGACAATTCTCTGCAAACATCAGTGACACAAAGTGTCATGAGTAAAATCTCCATCAGAGGGCATCAGAGCTCGACTCTAGTATTCATTGTTCCGAGGTTCCTCTTCCTTTTTCCCCCTCCATCTACATGGTGTCACCTGCCTCTTTTACGCCCATCATTCATTTGCACAATAGACACCAGATTCGAGAGGACAACCGGTTCATATTAATGAGGGAAAATACATCTCTCTCAGCTAGTCTGACTAAGCTAGCTGCTACTAGTTATCACTGCAAAGGTCAGGCAGACGAATGCTTGATCAGCTAATCCTGATCCAATATCAGCTCCTCAAATCTAATGTGGCAATACTTACCTTAAATACTACAATTTAACGTTGGGGGGCCACCACCGTTACACTAATGCTAATGAATTTTCACAGACACGAAAAGAAAAACTGTTCTGAAATCTTGGCACTAATGACCTGCTCTAAACCCAGAGCAGCCTACAGGTTATTTTAAGAGGTGCAATCACCAGATCCAGAATAATTAACACTTAAGTTAACACTTAGTTGTTATACAGTGGGAAAAAAAGCCTTTATTAAAACTCCTCATCCTCGAGGCAGTCTGTGGGAAATGAACAGCGGGGATAGATACTTCAGCCATCTGTGTTACGCGACGATCCGCGTGACGCAACTGTCGTCATCAGAAGTGTCCGTGGACGTCCGCACAAGCGGTCCACATGCAGCCCAATTTTGTGACCGCGTGGATGGTAAGCATACAACAGTGAAGGTGTGAGGGGAATGTTGAGACAGAATGAGTCTACTAAGTGGTGCTGTGCATGTATCGAACTCGTCCATTTGCGCTCATGAGCAGAACAAGGGAAGGGCCTTAATGCTGTCACTGTTTTTGTCTACATACATGTGTGCATACCAGAAAGAATGAGAGAAACAAGCAATTAAAGGACAGGGGTGTGTCCTCACCGTCTGTAAATGAGAGGATGGGGTGAACGCAGGGGTCGAACTGCGCCAGTCTGTCCAGTAGAGGGAGCTGGTGCTGGGTGTCTGCAGGAGGGAGAGCACGTCCACTGCACATCACGCACTGAGCGTTCAGCTCACAGCCACAGCGAGGAGCCACTGACCTCTGAGCCTGACAGAGAGAATGACAAGCACAGAAGATAGTGTAGATGTATGAATGATAAAAAAAATTAAATGGTATGAAAAAAATATAAAATAGAAACACATCAGCCCTGCATTGATACACGACTGCACAAAAGATTAAATATTCAATGAAACTAATACTTTTATGGAGAAAGGTGAACTGATCAAAATAAACAATATATATAAATGCTTTGTGACCAAAGAATAGTGAAAACACGCATTACCATTTCCACAAATAATTTATAATATAACAACTGTTTTCAACATTAAGATGATGATGAAGTAGCAGCAGCAGTAGAAGAATAACAGCAATTATTAATCTTAGTTAATGTTGATTTCAACATTTACTAACACATTATTAAAATTAATGTTATTGAAAGGACCTGAGCTAACATGGACTAACAATGAACAGTTATATTTTTATTAACTAATGTTAACAGAGTAATACTATAACAAATGTATTGCATTAAATATAGTTAACAAATGGAACCTTATTGTAAAGTGCCATTTTTGAACTATAGATGATCTTGCGTAACAATTTATCAATACATAATAGTGTATCGACAGATACTAACAAATATTTACTGAATGAACGCAAGTTTTTTTTCTCCCCTAAACGTTTTGCAGCCTTAAATTCTGAATAGTGTATTTAAGACATTAAAGATTTGTGAACACGCTTGCACATTGTTATTTTGTGTGCAGCAGCAGAAAAAAGCTTAACATCAAATAAACAAACAAGGGGGTCTGAAAATATATTATAAAGAGAGAGAGAGAGAGAGGTATAGAACATGACTTATATATTACTCCTTGTGCTCAAAAAACAAAAACAAGAAATATAAAACAGCATGCATGGATCATCATCAAATATGCTTTTTATTCATCTTAAAAAAAAAAAAAAAAATCCAGTCTTTCAAGTGCCGTCCACTGTGATCTTGCTTTTTGTGACCGAAATCTCTGGAGCACCAGCATCCAAAATGTATATCTGGCAATGATGAGCCTTTCCCTTTGTCTACGTTTACTTGAGTCAACCCTTCCAACCTGATGCTCACTCAAATCTCTGCAGCAGATGACCACACACGGATCCTGAGCTGCTGTCCCAGTTTTGCATGTGGCAGGTTCCCTAGCGCTCATTCACTATATTGACAGTTTTTAAGAAAGCTAAAATGAATAATAAAAGAGCTTTAAAGTATGTATCTATTGCATGTCTCTCTATTTGCATGTACATATTTTCAAGAATAATTTATATCTTTAGTACAATGACAATATAAATACCAATAATACTTTTACTCACTCACACACACACACACACACACACACACACACACAACTGCACTAAAGATATGACAAATTATTCTTAAAAATATTTGCATCCAAAGATGCAAGATATACAACAAATTCTTTCCCTTGTAAGGTAATTATTATATTTGGAGGATAAAACTTGCTTTAGTCAACCATTTGTCATTCACAGCAACTTGAAACACATTAAATGACAGCAGTGACAGTTCTGGAGCAGTACTGTGATCTCTGTGACACTGCTTCTATTTAATCTGTAACCTTTGTAAAAAGCCCACTGGGACCTTAATGAGCTCACTACATCTCGAGTAAAACACTTCCACAGGTGACATTGAAAGAGCTTGTTTTTGCCGCCTCACACACCTCTCGCTCGCTACTTTCATACCTAGTGACCTTCACCGACATGTCATGTAAAAAAATTGTCTCTTTTTATTCAGAGACTAAAAGGGGGGGTTTAAAGGAGAGGTAAAAAAAAATCTACATTTGTCATTAGTGAACAGTTTTAGTGCAAATGTGTTATGTGGTAAGTTTTAAGTGTAATAAGCCCTCTCTGCTCAAAACCACCAACCTCTTGATCTTGAGAAGGAACACGATTCTCCTTACCTTACGATTGAGACTGGTGAGTGAGCCGGGCCGGAGGACTCTGCGTTTCCTGCATGAGAGCAGTGGACGAGTGCGGGCCGCGACGCATGTGTTGTCGTGTGCACGGGAAGCCTGAGGGCCCATCTCCAGCTTCTGCTGGGACTCAGAGCGGCTCTGCTCGTCTCGGTCCAAGGTGACAGGGGAACTGGGCCGTAAGCTGAATGAGGAGAAGAAATCATCTTGAATGAACATGACAATAAAAGCGACATTTCTCCTTTTCAATGAGGGGAAAAAAAATGAATGAATGCACATTTAAATGATATTTGATCTTTCATACCTGTTGATAACACCATTGACCTGTCTCACAGCTCCACAGCTTTTCCTCAAGCCTGTTTCTGTGATGATAGCATTGGATGATACAGATGTTTCCACTGCAACAGTATCATGCTCCTAAAAACACAAAAAACAAACAAATGCGATGTTGGAAAGCACATTCCACCAATTTTGCCCCTGAGTTGGTCTGGACGAGTTGAATGGTTCTTGCTGCATTTCTTCACTACTCTGAATGGATGAAAAGGTCAGCAGTGCTTTGCATGTGACAGACAAAAGGACCGAGTGTTTGTAGCCCCTCTTCTCAATTCTCTCGCTCAACAATCTCAGCATTCTCTAAGGCTATGCGTGGGCCCGTATCATGAGCACTTTATCTGTTTGTGTGGGAATTAAACACACTAATGGGTCTTTTATTATAGATAACTCATTACTTATAATATGGTGTAAGAGAAAATAACATGTATTGGTCTTACATGATAGTTTAGATTGAGTTCAGGACTATGCTGTCTGTCTAGTAGTTTGTTTAGGGTTTTTCAGTGTGGTCATGGGTCTGTGCTCCTGGTCTTACCCGTGGGACAGGGCAGGTAATGGTCTCTGTCCTTGAGTCACTGTTGTCTTCTGGTACTGACTCACACACTGAGCTCTCCCCAAGTACAACAGAGCCCTATTAAGGCACAAACACCGACAAATTATAGACCAGAACTTGGAGACAGTGTTTTCGCTCCAATCAAAATGGTCTCAACCTTTCTCTTTTAGATTTTCTAAAAACAAGTTCCTCACTGCAGAGACAGCAGAACAAACATTTACCTGCAGTAACAAACAACAGAAGATCTGCAATCTGATGCTAGTGTGTTATGCACACAATTTAAATAACTTTTGAGATAAGAATCTGTGCATTTTACACACACACACACACGATCAAAAGTCTGGGATCGTAATTTTCTTATTTTGCTTTAAGAATTTAAAGAAATTAATACTTTTACTCAGCAAGGATGTGTTAAATTGATAAGTGACATTGTTAGAAAAGATTTACATTTTGAATATGCTGTTTTTTTATTTTTTATTCAAAGAATCCTGAAAAAAGTATCACAGGTTCCAAAAAAATATTGAGCAGCACAACTGTTTCCAACATTGATAATACATCAGAATGATTTGAAGGATCATGTGACACTGAAAACTGGAGTAATAATGCTGAAAATTTAGCTTTGCATCACATGAATAAATTATATTTTTAAGTATAATAAAATAGAAAACTGTTGTTTTAAATTGTAATTTCACAAAATTGCTGTTTTTTTCTGTTTGATCAAATAAGTGCAGCCTTGATGAGCAAAATATACTTCTTTAAACAAACATATTTTTGCTCTTTAGAAAATAACAGAAGCAAGGTTTTTGTTTAAAATAGCTTTTTACAGTCAACCTAAAAATAATAATGCTGAAAATTTAGCTTTGCATCACATGAATAAATTATATTTTTAAGTATAATAAAATAGAAAACTGTTGTTTTAAATTGTAATATTTCACAAAATTGCTGTTTTTTTCTGTTTGATCAAATAAGTGCAGCCTTGATGAGCAAAATATACTTCTTTAAACAAACATATTTTTGCTCTTTAGAAAATAACAGAAGCAAGGTTTTTGTTTAAAATAGCTTTTTACAGTCAACATTACATTTATCAACACAAGTCTCTTTTGCTCAGCAATGTTGCAATTATTTGATTAAAAAATACAGTAAAAACAGTAATATTGTGAAACATCTTTAAGCATGACTGTTGAAATGAAATGGTAACACTTTAAAATAAGAGTCCATTTGTAACATTAAGATTAATGAAAGCTGTGTAATGAAAGTATTGTTCCTTGTTAGAGTGTGTTAATTTCAACATTTTTATTATTACTACTACTACTACTAGTAGTATGGTTCAGTACTGTTTTTTTTAAATAAAGAATTATTTTAGTTTTTGTTCAGTATCCATTTGAAAAACTATCGGTTAATTAATCGGTATCGGCCAGTGTGGTCCAACCTAGCTATCGGTATCGGCAAAATCCACTATCGGTCGACCTCTAATCTCTATACATATCCACAATTTCAATACATTTCATGTAGAATCAGAATGATCTTAAAACAGCCATAATTTCACATTTCAGACAAATAGTGCCAAATCATGATGATATTCACTAAAGTATTTGTTTGTGTTTAAATCACACAACGAAAACAAGCTGTAAAAGTGTCAGTTTTTACAGGACGGCACAAAGTGAACAAAGTAAACGTGCACACCTTGCTGGAGCGGATTTGTCTGTAAATGTCGGTCTGTTGGCGTATACGGTACTCCAGATCCGAGACTTGGGCCTGCAGCCAGTTCCAGTGACTGATGATGGCAGCTCGGTCAACGGCATAACGGCCTTCTGCTCTCCTACATCTGGAAAACACAGAAATATACTGGTTACAATTCACAGCAAGACTTTATTCATGTTTTAGGAAATATCTGTCTTCATAATTAGCATTCACACTGAAGTTTTAGCTAAATGCACAAATGCATCCCCATTGACTTTTCTTCTAAAAGACAGGTAAGAAGTTGCTCTAATAAGTTATATCATGGTACTTATGTGGATAATGAGTTATAATTTCAGTAAATTTCAGACGAAGTTCCTCACAATTTCCAGTCCTGTGTCTACCGTCAATAGTTTAAAAAAAAAATTTTTTTATAAAGAGTAAGGTATACTGATGTGGAATGAAAAACATCAAGTAACCTTTGTCTGCTGGTTATCGCCTCCCCACAGCACATAAGTGACATGGAAGTGTGAAAACAAAACAGAGAAACAAAATCTGACAGGAAGTTGACCAAGAACATAATTTCCATCCAAAACTTCCTCTAGATGTTTGTGTGTGAGAGAATTTAGCAAGCCACTTGACACAGGCCATTCAGTGAGACTTTTCCCATAAAAACACTCAACTTACTCCCTTTAAACGTCACAAAAAATGAAAAGATATAATAACAGGGTCAAGCACTGTCAAAAATGCACCGAATTGACCTCTGACCTCTTTACATTAGCCCCAGTACATTCTTGCATAAACTCTGCTCTCTCAGCTCTTGCAGTGAGGCAACATAAACCAAGTAAAACCAGTGCACATTACTGAAAATAAAAAGATTGCAAAATACGAGGAGAAATAAACATTTTTCATCTGAAGTACAACAACATGACTCAAGATTTCCCTGAATCAGAGAGAGAGCGAGTTCCTGTTTTTGCTCTACTTCAACAACGAAAATGAATGTATAGGGTAAACGTACCTATTAAGCTCACCAAAATCTACATCGAGACATTTATAGTGCACAAGATATTGGTTTCAGTACAAAAAGTTATGTTAAAATAAAATATTAATCTCTCACACAAACATATTTAATTTTATTTTAAATGACAAAAGCATTTCAATTAAGATATACATCATTAAATGCAAAAAAATCTGTCTGTGCTTAATGGGTACATGTTTGTACCCTTTACGCACACCCCTGTTCCCAATAAGCTCACATCATGTTTAATTAAAAATTATTGTTTATTTTAAGGAAAATTTTTAATGAATAATTGTAAAAATATATATTTTTAAGGTACAAAGTCAATCACAAAAAAAACTGAACACTAAAATAAAGCAACAAGACATTCAATTTGATCAGTTATATATTCATAATGAAGTGTCATTTAAGCACATTGCAACATCTATACTAGTCCACGTTCAGCTAAGTAACACATGTGATTTTCATAGTAGTGTACCCTTTAAGCTCACCTTAAAATAATATGAAATCTTTAAAAATTACAGCAGTGTAAAACCACAGACCAGCAATAAACTGTCAATTTATAATATTATGGATGTAAAAGTACAAGCCAGTAATGCCTGTGAAGTAATATATTAGCGTAGCACACAATCTTATACAGCTAGTCAGCTAACTGTGTTCTGTAGCTTCTGCGTTGTGTTGCTAAAACTATCTTTTGGATCTAACTAATTATTTCCCACATCCAAGTTCTAGGTTATAATATGCAAAAGTCTTAACATTAATCTCTTAATTTTACAGTAAGTAGTGAAAGTTCCCCAAAATAAAGGCTTAAACATCTAAAAAAAAAAAAAACGCACATTTAAGGGGCTCCTCTTTTGGTGAAAGTTTTCAGACAGCTTTCAAAATGGCCACCAGACAGTGTGAACACACGAAGGGACCCATATTTCAGTGTGCAATGATCTGATTGAATTGAAATTACAGGAGGTATGTAGTAACAAACACATCAATTGGTTAAGACATCAAGTAGGATAATTAATTATTTTTTCTTTTTATAACCTGATCTCAAATGGAAGTGTGCTTAATGGGTACGTGAGCTTAATAGGTACGTTTACCCTACATTTAATTTAAATGAATGAATACATTTAATTTTGAACAAGGCTACAGCAGAACTGTTTTGCATCTCTGGGCAAAACTCAACTGTTTCGTTACTGAATCTATCAGCTGCTTGAACGAATGGGTTGAATGAATGACTCAATGACTCACTCATGCATTAAACAGTCTACTGCCACTTCAGATGCACATTCTCCGTTTCCTCTGCACTGCAAACACAACTTTTGTTGACATTTCATTGGTAACAGCCCTATAGTGTCTTACTATTTGAATTTGATTACATTTAAGCATCTGACACAAAAATGATGCATACATTTAATTAAGTTAGAAAAAAAAAATTGGCATTACAAAGCTAAAAATGTCCATAAAAGGTAAAAATCAATTTAAACTTACTGGAAAAGTTCATTTCTGTTACTCCTGCAAACTAACCACTGCACAGAATATTAAAAGCTTTGGGAGTCAGCTTTCCACAGCAGTCCTAAACCTGTCAAAGTACCAGCACAATATCATGCTCAGCAAAATATCATCCAATTATAGTTAGATATCTTTTTTGTGATTATCGCACACCCCTACTACCAACACCATGTAGACACTGGATTGCATTATATTATTTACAATAAACTTGTCAGATGTACTGATATACTTTATACTTCAGGAACATGCCTAATTGTATTCCTACTGAGAATCTGGGAAGAGAACTGGCCCAGATATGAGCTCACAATCTGTGATCGTGAGGAGATCTGGCATTTATCGGTGCTACAGCCTGCACACACTGACAGAAAATCATGCTCTGCTTCACTTCAATGAACCTTTCAGTTTCATTCTTTAAAAAAAAAATTATAAATAAAATTTCACTAACATTAAAGGGATAGCCCATTCTAAAAGAATTGTCATCATTGTCGATGCCGACAGCCTTGTGGGCAGCACACCGACATACAGCGCCGTTGCGCTACGGGCGTCCCAAGTTCGAATCCCAACTTGAGGACCTTTTCCGATCCCACATCATCAGAACACCATGTACATGCATAAAAAGTATAACTGTTCATATTTGGACAACCTATTTTGAAGACAACATGAATATACATTTCACCAATAACCAGAATCTATTTTGAAGAGGCTGACAAAAGACAGGAATGAGGCTTCTGTAAACATGTTATGATTCCCTGGAACAAGCTTTACAAACATTGTGACCAGCCTTTTTCCTCTTCGCTGGAATGCCATGTTTCCACTCTTGCCGGTTCAGATCTGTGTTTTGTATTTCTGGGCATTCAAAATGTTTCCACATGGGTTCAGGGTGGGGGAGGGACTGCCACAATAATGTAACACACACAGCTGCCACAAGAGGCAGCACATGAACATGAGTGAATATGATGCATGTTTGCATGTAAGGAGGAATGTGACTTTCTTTTTTGTCTGAGTGAACAGAGCTTTTCAAGCAGTCTGTATGTGTGAGAGAATTATTTTACATGCATACGAGTAATAAATTTGATCCTAGCGAGCGATTGTGGTGTAGAGACACCAAATGAGCACAGATAAGATGCTTCCCAACCCGTTGTCCTCAGAGGAGACCGGAAACAAGAAGGAAGTGGCCACACAATGAAAACGAGACTGTGCATAAAGATCAAAGGAAGGTCATGTCAGCACAACACAACACACACTCCTTGACTGGGCATGAGGGGAAATTTGCATAAGCTAATATGATCCACGATACATTTCGATGACCTACGAGCCTTCAAATGCGAGTCACGTGCCTGCTATAACATGTCATGTCTATGTAGACTAAATACAATGCAACACAATTAAGCAGTATTAGATTTAACTTCACTCAAATGCCTTTCAATTTGTCCCATTCATACCTCCTGGTCTCTTTCGTCAAACCCCCCCCAAAATAAATAAACTGTATTTGTCAAGGGAATTTAAACATTAAAAATAAGCCCACAATTCAAATCAATAAACCCACAGGCCTACAGCATTTTCAACCATCGCATACACTGCCGGTTATAAAAATCCAGCATATTTTCCAGGTCCGAGATTTAGTTTTGATCTAACTTTAACAATTACACACTCCATTTGACACAAAACAGACACATTTCAACAGGACAAATCACAAGCCCTCTATAGAGACAAAAGTCACACACATACAAACTGAAATGCCACATACAGCCAAACATTTATAGGACAAATAATCCAGAAACTTTCAGCTTGATGCCAAGTGGGTCATCATAAGAAAAGGCCCACGTTCACATGAGTGGACACCAAGCCAGAACAGTAAACACTTCAAATACTTCACACAGAACAAGATAGTGCCAGTATTTTAAACCAACATACAAAAAGCAGCACACGTGGGCCAAAAATGTCTGAACAAATCCAATTAGAGGTATACAACAGCACTGATTAATGAATTTAATATTAATTTCCTATCACTAAAATGATAGACAGACCACTGGCTGAAAGTCTGATCAGTATCGCACACAAAATTTGAAACACTTCAGGAGTTTCGAAGTCATCATCGAATTGGTTGAAATACATAGGGTTTCCTTGAGATGTGTGTGTCGCGTTCTTTAATATTCTGCATGGAAACAATGATGCAGTGATGCCAAAACCCCGTCATGTTTACAACTGTGGTTATGAGCACTTATCTCGATCAACTAAACGCTGGATTTTCAAAATTTTGTGAAATATATAAAGTCTGCTGTACAGGCTCTTTAAAAATACGTCCAAGAGTTTTACATAGGGCTGTCGCGATAACCGCAATACCGCACAATTGACGAGCAAACCGCAGAGGAATGCAAGAACCCCAGCAACCGCGATTTTTGCGAGTTTTCTTTTTTCGTAAGGTTATGTCCTTCTCGAATTTACACTTCATGCATGTGGACTGAATATTAAACAAGTTAGTAATGATAACAATGTGTACCATGCTGATTTGTAGAGGCTCTGTAGATTTGCACTTAACAAGCCTAAACAGACAGTGAATGAGAGTCACAATCTGTGATCGTGAGGAGATCTGGCATTTATCGGTGCTACAGCCTGCACACACTGAC